GGTGGTGTTGGGATGAGTGAGCACCCCACACCCCTCAGGGCTGTGGGGTCAGGGGAGCAGTGTGCCCCCACGAGCCAGCACTGCCTTCGAATGCAGCCGGCCGTCCCAGCAAAGCCGTCCCGTAACCATTAACTTATTAACAACTGGTGGAAGAGGCAAGTGGTGGCTTGCAAGGTCAGGGGGTGGTTTGTGCCTGGCGGGGAGTGAACTGCCCCCCAGCTCTGGCAATGGGGATGGGGGAGGGACCTGCAAACCCTTAGTTTGTTGTGTGTGCCCCGTGGCAGGGAAGACTCTTAACTGTGGATATCCCTGAACCCCAGTGTGCTCAGGGCTGTGCCTCAGCTGGGAATGGCCAGATCCTGTGATTATCTGCAGGGTAAACTGAGGCATGCCAGCAGGGCACAGGGCAGGACACACCAGTGCCTGAGTGCTTGGTTGTGCACCAACCATCTTCCTCGGGAAGAATCTCAGAGGCAGCAGTCGAGCTCCGAAGTGGTGCAGTGACTCCAAAACAGTGCATCAGCAGTCAGCCACCCGTGGTGTGTGGCTGGGGGGTGCAGGGAGGTGAGCATTACCTGGGCGTGCTGCGTGAACACTGGCCAGATGGAAAAATTAGCAGAGTGGCTAATCAATGTGGGGATATTAAGCAGCTCAGGATTGGGGGGTTTGCATGGCGGGGGGGAGCTGAGCAGGGTCTAGGATCGATACAGCTCATATTAAGTGGATTAAATCCTGGCTGCTGATCTGAGCCCTCGCTGCCAGCAGGCGGTGGCAGCTGAGCAGGGACTGTGGGGGTCCCACTGAGATCACTTCTCTTGGCAGCAGGGCCCAGGGGGGACTGTGTGGGGACTCACCAGACAAGAGCAAGCTGAAGTGCCTGGTGGGTTGCTTAGCACCTCATCACATCCTTCCTCTGTCTAGTGTGTCAGCTAGCCTAAGGGGTCTCAGGGACCCAAGCTTCATCTCTAGAAGCCCTCCTGGCTCCAGGAAAGTAATGTCCTGGGCGAATGAGTGGTGTTAACAATGTTACTTAATCGTGGGGAGGAGGAAGAGGAGGAAGCACAAGGCCTATTCACATCCTGTTAATAAAGCATGTTCGACCCACTGACCTTTAACCTGCCTGACAAGCCCCCTTTCCCCATCCCTTAAGGAGTATAGATGTCACCATGGCAATGGGATGACAGGAGGGAGCAGGTCCCAGAGCTGCACCCAGCATGGGGTGTGGGATGAGGACACACTGAGCTAGTCCTGCACAAGCACCCAGGCCAGCAGTGCCAGGAGGAGGTGGGGTGCTGCTGGGGTTACAAGGCCAGTGGGGTGGCCAAGCATAGACAGGTCCCCGAGGCTGGCGGAGCAGGGCTGTGCTGCACAGTGGTGGGATATTGATCCCGGGGCTTGACAGTTTAATACTTCCGTTTATAGAGGAATATAGTTACATCGATGGTGTTAAATGAGTTACTAATTATATCAATACAAACACGATTAAAAGGGTCCTTGCTCATAGGTCACCACAAGCAGGAGCCGCTGGCTGTGTTGCACAACTGCCCCTGAGCAAGGCTCAGACCACTGCTCCAAGGTGCATGGCAGGGGATGCTCTGGGGTAGCATGTGCCCTGTGAAGTCAGGGGTGCCCATCCACATGGAATGCCTGTCTGGGGTTGTGAATGCATGTGTGGGACTGTACATCCCCTTCTGGAGTTCTGTGTTCCTGTTTCAGGCTCTGTGTGCCCATCTGGCATTGTGGATGCATGTACAGGGTTTGTGCGTGCATATTTGGAGTTGTGCATGTCTGTTTGGGGTTGTGCACGCATGTATGGGGATCTGTTTGCCCATTTGGGGCTGTTCATGCCCAGCTGGGATTTATGTGTGCCTGTCAGGGTTGTGCATGCCTATTTATGAGTTGTGTGTTCTGTTCTGGAGTTGTACATGCCCCTCCGGGGTTGTGAGTGCGTGCCCAGAATTGTGCATGTATACATGGGGTTGTGAATGCCTGTCTGGTGTTGTGTGTTCCATCTTGGGTTGTGGGTGCACATACAGCAGTGTGCATGTTCCATCTGAGGTTGTGCATGCACATTCGGAGTGCGTGCCCATGATGTATGTATGGGGTTGTGGATGCTCCTGCAGTCTGATGCGTGCCCATGGAAGTCTGGGCACACACCAGACTGCTGTGCATGCCCGTGGGAGGCTGTGCACTTCCAGGCGTGGCTGTGTGTGCCTGTAGGGATTTGTGCCCCTGTGGGTTGTGTGTGCATGTGCATCACAGGCTTTGCATGCTCCTGTGATGTTCTACGTGCACACCATGCAAGGCTGTGCAGTATTGTACATGCCCATTCCACCTTCTCTGTGGCACTAGGGGGATCAGTGTCCCTGTACAGGGTTGTGCCTCTGTTTCTGTGGAGCTGTGCAATGCCCACGAGGGGGTTGTGTGGGTTATGGGGTTCTGTGGACCCACACAGGGATGTGCACGCTTGTGGGGTTGTGCAAACCCAGGTGTATTGTTCATGCCTGTGTAGGGTTGTATATGCTCACATGGGCTTGTGCACCCCCACGTGGGATTGTGGCAGCCCATGTGGGGTTATGCACACCCAGGTGAAGCATGTGTCCCTGCACAGTGACTGTGTGTGACCCAAGAGACCTCTTCTCCAGCCTGGGCATCCCCAAATCTCGTGGAACAGCCCGTGCATCCCAGGGCATACCCAGGGGCCATGCCGGCTTGTCCCCAGTTACTCAGCTCCGCTCTCATCTCCACTTAAAAGCTGACCTTTGCTCCCCGTTTGATGTAATATGTTTTTGCATCTCAGTGCCCCACAGATAAAAGGTTAGAGGTTAATAAACAGTGGAAAAATAGAACCTGGCCCTTGGAGGTCACACCTGTTTTGGGGGCTGGAGTCAGTAGCAGCCCACTCTAGGTGGGATCCTGCCTACATCCATGGGAGGAGAAACAAGAGTGGCACAAGAGGGCAGAGGTGTGTGGGTGCTGAAGCCCATCCCCTAGGTGACCCTCGGGAAGGTCACAGCTTCACCTTGCAGTGGGATGAGTGGTAGTTGCCAATTCTGAAGATTTGCCCCTGCCTTGATAGGCCAGATGTCAGGGGGATGTCAAAGCACTTCGTGTGGAGGCCTTCCAGGCAGGAAAATGCAGGCAAAGCCTGGCTGACACAGCCTTCCTGGGGCAGAAATCAAAGCAGCCTCCTGGAGCTCTGCTCAGAGCCTGACCTAGTTACTGTAATCAATGGTTCAGGGACCTCCTGGAAAAGAGCAGGTGATGGGGAGGGGGCACAGAGCGAGGCATGGAACACTGCAGTGGAGAGGCACACAGTACTGGCACGCAAGGGTCAGGGCACTCCAAGAGCACCCAGCTGCAAGGAGGGGATAGGTAAGTGGGATCCAGAGAGCAGGGAAGCAGTGCAGAAGGAGCTCCATGGAGCCAGGCAGTCAGCACCTATGGGTAGGGTGAGAGTCTGGCAGTTGCACCCCTAGACAAAGTTAGGGACAGGCAGTTAGCACCGATCTGTCCCTGACAAGGGACAGGCAGCTGGCACCTGAGACAAGCGACTGTGTTAGATGTGTCTGTTCAGTGGTGGGAACCGTGGGGTCTGTAGAAGCATCCTCATATCCCTGCAGGTCCCCACATTCCCCCATCCCTACATCCCACATCTCCATGACCCCAAAGTCTTTACACTCCACATCCCTGCATTCCCATGTCCCTGTATGCATATGCCCCCATTGCATCCCTGCATCACCCCATCGCCGTGTGCCCTGAGTCTCTGCAGACCCACATCCCTACATTCACGTATCTCTGAATTCATGTGTCCCCATGGCATCCACCCCCTTCCCCACAGCCTGGTGTGCCTGCAGCCTGACGACCCTTAAGCACAGCTCCCTTTATCTGTCTGGTGACTGATGTTCTGTGTGGAGCGGGGGTGTGCTCCCTTTCTATTGTTTTTTAACGGCCTTTCCCAGCACAATTGTTTTTTAAACGACTCTATTTTGTGCCTGACTTTGTTTTCCAGCTTGCATTTCTTTGTATACGTTTTGGAAATCCATTCTGGACTGCTGAGTTTTGTTTCTTTTCAATGGCTTTAAATTCTTGCCGGGCTTGCTGGGAGGAATTGGTGTCTATAGTGTCTTCGATTGGTGCTAATTTTTCCTTCATGTGCTCTGACTTTTACTGCTGGGCCATCGATCTGGCAGGCTCCAATTTGTCATGGTCACTCAGGCGCTGTGCTGGAATCAGGCGAGCCCGGACTTTCACAGGGAGCCGGCACTTGGTGTACCTGGTGTAGGGGCTGCATTCGCCTCCCCAGTGCTGTCCCTCAGCTCAGGCTGTGTCCATGTGTCCAGACCATCCAGCACACATAAGCAGCCTCACAGCCACATTTGTGCTGTGCAATCCTGGACAAATGGCAGCCCCAGTACTTGCAGCTCCATTGATGGTACCTGGTGGCATGGTCGAGCCAACTTTTCCTTCCCCAGGATGGGATCATCCCCCACTGTTCAGGTGGGCCTGTGTCCCTCTGAGGAATGAGGGCTGATGAGGATGCTGATCCCATGCTGGGACTTTGGGAACACCAGCACTCAGCAGTGCCAGAGCAGAGCTGAGGATCCTGATCCCAGGGTCCTGTCTGGGGCTTCAGGTTTGCTGATGCCTCTGGGCTATGATTCTTGCATCTAAGAGGATGAGGGGCAGGACAAACCGAGGCACAGACCCAGTGTCTCTGCAGCAAAGATTCAACATAGTCAGTGGTCTGTAGGGAGGCCATGGCAGACCTGAGGCACAGGGAGAGCCCATACCCAGCCAGAGGATGTGTCAGGGGATTCTGTTAGTGGTGCACAGAGAGCCTCTTGTTGTTGCCAGAGCAGGCAAGTGGGGTCAGGGGTGATGCGAGGGGTGATGCCAGGTTCTGGCACAGGCAGTGTTCGGCCCCAGGCACTGCTCCTCTCCCCATTCTCACCTGCATGTGCTGGAAGCACTGACCCCTCTCTCTCTCCTGCCTCCAGCTCTATGAACTAGATGAGGACCCGAAACGCAAGGAGTTCCTGGATGACCTCTTTGGCTTCATGCAGAAGAGAGGTAAAGGTGGGTGGCTGGGGTGGGTGCCACTGCCACCCCTGCCTCGGCTGCTGGTGGGGGGCTCATGGTGTGTTGTTCTCAGGCTCTGAGCTGCTCCAGGTCTCTGCAAATCCCTCAGGCAGGTCCTGTGGTGCTCCCCCTGAACCTTCCCGCAAGCCGGGCAGCTGTTGTTGAGGATATCCGGTGCCCATTATCGATGCCCAGCAGGGATACCCGCTGGAAACACCTGGTGGGGATGTCCATTAACATACCCCTTAGAGACAAGCATTAGCAACACTCATTAATTATGCCCATTAGCAGTTTTCAGGACTTGGGGATGCCCGGTGGGAATGCCCTTGGCAGTGCCCTTTAGGGCTCCCTGTTTGCAGCACCTGGTGAAGATGCCCACCATCAGCACCTCTCAGCGATGCCTACAATTTGCGGGAGCAGCGCCGGGCACCCAGGGGTTAAGGGCTCACCAGCCAACCCATCCTCATCGGAAATCTTTGCTATCGGCATGGGGAGCCGAGCCGGCTCCCGGGGACTCGATAAATGCTTTAACCTTCGCCCTCCCCGGCCGGGCCTGCGACAATTAAAAGTTGCCGAGCGCGGGCGTGTGGCCGGCCGTATTAATTAGAGCCTTTTGCTGGTGTGTGGATTAATGAACAAGCCGTTCGATAGCCAGTAAACCCCAGGCAGAGGTTAATGCCGAGCTAATTAACGGGGAAAGGCTGAGGGGGGTGCAGGAGCTTTGGGGCTGGCTGTGCATGGGGTGAGGGAGGGCAGAGTGGGGCAGTCGCCGTGGTGAGGGTCCCCACCTGGCTGTGGGGCTGCACAGATTGACTTTTGGGTTGGGCTGGGACATCACAAACTTGTTGCAGTCACGGGTGTGTGGTGAGTGGCTGGCACGGCCAGAGGGCTCCCGCTGGGGACAGCTGTAGGCTGTGGATGGGCTGGGTACTGCCCCATGGGTGGCCCCTGGCCCTGGTGCAGAGTTGTGGGGAGCGAGTGGGAGCATCAGCACTGCCTCAGCCCTCCAGCATTCATCAGCTACAAGATTCATGGGCTGTTCTGCAGCTTCATTATCTCTCTCTCCAGAGCTAATTAACTCCCTCGCTATTGGGGCCGGGGCTAATTAAGTAAGTGCCTGCTGGTGTGGGGAGGAGGGAGCGAGCCTAATGCTTCCCTGACAGTGCTGCTCCACATCCCTCTGTGTCTGGATGTCCCACTCCTATGCCCTCCATCCCTTCTGTCCTGCTTCCCCTCCAAAGTGGGTGCTATCCCTCTGGGGAGGGCAGGCAGGGTGTGGGTGCACAGGTACAGGTGTGCAGGGATTGGTGTGCATGAACCTTTTGAAGGACACAGGGATTTTGGACTGGGGTACCGAAGAGAAAGGGGACAGAAGGGTTGAGGGGCAAGGACAGCATCCCAGGGGTCATCAAGAGCTGGGTAAGAAGCAGCACCCGAGAACTTGATGTCCACAGAGTGAGCCCTCCTGAAAGGGACTGCATCCCCCCTGTGTCTGTCAGAACAGTATCAGCACTGACATTTGTCAGCAGAGTGGAAAATTTGTAGGGCTGAAAAATGGGTTGGGAGGGCAGACCTTCTGAGGCCACCCCATGGCACAAGGGCACAGCTGGCCCTGGTGGCTCATGGAGGTAATACCACCACCACCACCACCATCAGAAATGGGATACAGGCAGTGGGGCAGCTCATGGCCATGCCCCAGCTTCTGTGGCACCTCAAAGGCAGTAATCAGGGAGAGAAGGGGGCTATTCCTGCATTTGTTTACTGGGGTACCCTCCTCCCCCCATTTCACCCCCAGGCTGAGTGCCCTGCTGATAACAAGGGGCTATTAATCAGTCCAGGTGCTAATTGCAGCACCACGATGGCTGCATCACCTCCCTGAGCCTTTGTGCCCTTCGGTCTGTGGGGATGCAGACAGGTGCCTTTGTCAGTGGGACAGTCATTGGCCACTCACCCCGCACAGCCCTGAAATGGTTAGCGAGGCACTTTCGTAAGCCACCAAGGCTAGAGATGGGAGAGAAGAGAAATCCATAGGCCATTGGGTGTGGGCTGAGACCCTGAAAACTCATTGTTTGGGGACCTTCAGACTGGCCCCCGCGAGGTGATGGGTCTTGTGCCAGCAGCCCTGAGCAGAGCTGGTGAGCTGCTGACAGCAGATGTCAAGTCAATATCTCTGCCTTTCTCCCAGGAGGATAAACTCTTCTCCCCCTTCCCGACCTGGTGAACAACACAGACACACACAAAAAAAAAAGTTAAATGAACTCAGTAAAAGAATAAAAAGAGCTCATTTTTCAGGCTTATGTGAAGAAGCCAAGCCAATATCAGGGCCATAAATTAGGGATGCTGGAGGATGGCGGTGAATGACGGCTTCGTTTGAGGGGCGAAGCGCAGTCGTGACAGCCTCCCTTGGCCAAATGGATGGCTTTCCAATACTGCCTGTGCCCCGCCACCTCACAGGAGGAATAAATATGGGGTGGAATGGCACAGGATGGGACGGGATGTGATGCTTGTGCCTCCTCTGCCCAGCTTCCAGCAAATGCCCACACCGTCGTCCCAAGGAGGCATGGAGCACAGCAAGGCTGTGAGGTTATTTGGGGGTGCTAAGAAAGTGGAGAAGGGTTTTTAGCCATACTTGGTGTCTATGGAAACCATGGTGATCTATACTGGGCTCTCAGAACCCTGGTGAACACGTGTTCCCTTGCCCCATAGCCTCATAGAGGAGGTTGATGGTGGGGCACCAAGGGTCAGGGTCTCTGCTGAGAGCTGTTGAAGAGGATTTGGAGTCAGGTTTCTTGAAGCTGGGCACTAAAGTCCTTTAAGCAGAGGAAACTTCCAGGGCCATCTGTAGGGTTAAGAGTTTTTTCAGGAACTCTTTGAAAGAGTCTGGAGCTGGAAGAAAAAACCTCTCCATAGAGAGATGGTAGGGTGAGTCATCCCAGAAGGGTTGTGGGGGTCATCCCTCTTCAGAAAGGTTATAGGAATGGGTCCCTTCTTAAAGTGTAGATGGAGTCTCTCTTTATGGGGCTCTGAAAGAGCATTACAGAGCAAATCATTCTAGGATGCTCTGAGAGATTTCATAGATTGGTGCTGTACAGATAGCTCTGAGAATTGTAGGGAGACAACCTTACCTAAGTGTGTCTGGAGCGATACTTTGCCCATCCCACTGTGGCTCCATATCCCAGATGAGAGCATACCCAGCTGCACTGACAGCTCCATCAAAGGTGACCCTCTGCCAGCATGCTGAGGTCTCCCCTGCTTTTTGGCACAGTGCCACTCTCCCAGGCACCCTGGGGTCCTACCTGCACCCAGGTGCCCATGGGTGCTCACCTGCGCATGGAGAGATGTGACTCCCATTGTGGGTAGCTGCAGTGGCAGTGGGGGGAGGCTGGGGACTGCGATCCCAGGTACAAAGGTTCCCTGTGGGCAGCCCCCCACAGCCCCTTCTGTCTCCTGTGTGCCTCCGGAAGGAACACCAGTGAACCGCATCCCCATCATGGCCAAGCAAGTGCTGGACCTGTACACACTGTACCAGCTGGTGACAGACAAGGGTGGCCTGGTCGAAGTCATCAACAAGAAGATCTGGCGGGAGATCACCAAGGGCCTCAATCTACCTACCTCCATCACCAGTGCTGCCTTCACCCTCCGCACACAGTGAGTGCCTGGCAGCATGGCAGGTGGGGGACACCTCTCCTGGGACACCCGCTGGCTCAGATGTTCCAGAGCCCTGGGAGGGTCTGACATGGGGACCACAAAAGTGGTTAGAGAGCTCTTCTCCTTTCCAAGGGCTCTTTGCTCAGCACGGGGCTGGCTGGGAGGTGCATGACTGTGGATCTCCCCTGGCTCTCTCCCCGTGCAGATACATGAAGTACCTGTATCCCTACGAATGTGAGAAGCGGGCGCTCAGCTCTCCCGGAGAGCTCCAAGCTGCCATCGACAGCAACCGTCGGGAGGGGCGGAGGCAAACTTTTGGCACAGCACTCTTCAACTACTCGCCAGCCAGCACCCCAACCCTGCTGGGCACCCCCAAAATGCCTCTGCCAGCTCTTAGCATCTCCACTCACAGCTGTGGCCAGCTCAGCCAAGTGCACAGCGTTAAGAAAGGTGGGTGAGGATCCCATCTTCCCAGAGATGGATGCTGCTCCACAGCAGGGATGTTTCCCTGTCTGCTCTTGCCCTTTTTGCTTTGGGAAAATAGGAGCAATGTTGTTCTTCTAGTCCCTTTCAGAGAGTGAAACGTGTATTTTCCCTGGCTTTGGAGAAGGGCCAAGCCCAGATGTTGGGAGTGGTGGCCTGCCCTGTCCCATTGCTGGTGGGGTGAAGTTGGCACCAGTGGTGATGGTGAGGTGGGGTGGTGATGAGAGACCCACTGAGCTCTCTTGCTCATTGCAGAGGACGGAATGCTGGCAGCATCAGTGCCGGGGCGCATTGCTATCCCGGTGGGACTGGCCAGCCACCATCTCACAGCAGCCCAAGCAGCAGCTGCCTCACAGGCAGCGGTGCTGGAGCAGCTGCGGGAGAAGCTGGAGACAGGGGAGCCCCCAGAGAAGAAGGTGGCCCTGACAGCGGAGGAGCAGCAGCGGCTGGTGCAGCACGCACTTCAGCACAACCTCCTGGCCATGGCCTCCCAGTTCCCTGTGAACATCAAGATCTCCAACCGAGGTAAAGAGATGTAACACCTCAGCCTTGGTCATCCCTCTCTCTGGCACCCGGGGTGGGAGCAGCAGCAAGCCACTGGAGAGGAGTATGGATGCCCAGAGGGACTGCGTCCTGGCTTATCTGTCTTGGACAGGTTCTTGTTTCTGTTTCGCTTAACACTCATATTGGTATTTCCTTTCCCCAGATGACAGACAGGAGACCGCATTGAACCTGTCCACCAACAGCATTAGCAGTATCAACATGTCAATAGAAATAAATGGAGTTGTCTACACAGGTAAATAGAAGGGCCGCTTGGCCCGTGTAATTGCGGCCGGGAAATCCAATAACTTATAGCCACTGCCTGGCCAGCAAGTCCTTCCTTCAATCTGATGTCTTTACTATAAAATCCATCGTAATGAAGTGGCAGGGCTTGGGGAGAGGGGGCAGGAGGAGGAGGGGGTTGACAAGGATGGAAATTGGCCCAAAGCAGGTGCTAGCGATGAAGGGCTAAAGTGGGGGGTGAATAGATGGACAAATGGACAGACTCTGGCTGAGAAGTGACCCTGCACCTAAGGTCATTCCACACCCGAGGGTCCTGAAGGCAGGGCTTGGATTTGGGGTCAGCCCAATGCTTGTGTGCCCAGAGTGTCTCTGGCTGGGTGTGGGGCTTGGCTGATTGCAGAGCATGGTGCAGGGAAAGATGTTGGGGTGCTTCGGTGGAGCAGAGGATCCTTTGGGGTGCCAATGTGCACCAATCTGGATAAGCAGCCCATGCCCTCCAGATCCCCATCCCATGCCCCCCAGATCCATGCCTGTCCTGCTGAGACACCCCACAATTAAAATCAATGGCTTTACCTTCAGAACCTAAATATTTAATGAGCGGGAAAGGTCATGGCTAAGCCTCATGTGAGACTTCCAGCCAAATGTGCCCACAAGCTGCCCCACGCAGGCAAGGATGACTGGGTTGGGGGAGACACCACAAGTGATGACAGGCGGCTGAAGCCCCCATGAGTCTTGGTCCCACACTCCCCAGCCTGGGTGCTGGGAGCCAGGTGAGTCAATCCTCTAGCCCTGGCCTTGCCCTAACCTGCTTGTTCTTGTCCCCCAGGTGTCCTGTTCGCCCGCCGGCCCTCAGCCACCCTGGCACCTGGTGGAGGGAGCACCCAGACCCGTCCAAACCCCATGCCTGCCCCAAACCCCCTGCTCCCAGCCTCCTCTCAAAGCCACACTCCCGCTAGCACCTCGCCGTAAGGCAGATGTGCCCCCACCCTGAAAGCAGCTGGGGGTGCCCAGACAGAGTCTGGGGGGCTGAGCTGTGGGACCCAGCTGGGCCACCAGGATTGGATGGGGGACCCAAAGGTGCCTCTTGCTGCAATACTGAGCTGTGTCCATGCAAGGCTGTGAACACCCACGCGGGCCCTTTTGTCCCTTATCCCCACGCGTGCCCTCTGACACACACACACACACACACACACACACACACATTCCTTCCCAAGGCACCACCCCCAGGTGACTCTCCCATACATCTCCTGCTGCCCTGATGCCTGGGGGACCCCCAGGACCTGCATGCTGCATCCCCTACATCCTGCAGCCCCTAACCCACCTCGATGCACGCACTGCTGCCCCTGTACATGCCTCAATGCATACACTGTATCCCCTGCACACACCCCTGGTGCCCACACTGCCTCTCCATACACACCCTCCGTGCAGACACTGCAGGCACGATATGCTGCAGCCCCTATAAATATACTGCACCCCCTACCCACTGCAGACGCCCCTACCCAGTCCTCCTGCGCTGCCTGGGCTTGCTGTCCCTGCCCTGAGACACCACCCAGGGTGGTGGCATCTCAGCCCCCAGGTCCTCAGCTCAGGGGGATCACCCCGGGGGGGCAAATAATGGGGATATTGGTGGGAATGGTGGGGGTGAAGCTTATTGGGGTGTGGCTGGGGTTGGGGGTTTGTGTCGGGGTGGGGCTTGGTGGTGGTGGGAGGGCAGGGTTGCCCAGCAGAGCCCCCCCACTACCAAAGACTGCCTGGGTGCCAGGGTCTCCAGATGGTGACAGGGAGAAGAGGGCACTCCGAACTACCTCGTTGGGGCTGGGCGGGCGCCTCCTCCACCCGCGCGTGCCCCAGGGTGCCAAAGCAGGTGAGCGCGGAGCGATGCTCGCCTCTACCTCAGCGCGGGGCTCGGCGGCGCTGGCCTGCTCCCCGCACTCCCACCGCAGCTGCCACTCCGTGTATCTATTAAAGGAAACAAGCTCCTGAACCAAACCGCTGCTGAGGGTTGTGTGCAGGGCATGGTGCCACCCACCGAGCTCCAGGGCTCAATTTGGAGGTGCAGGACACCCCGACAGCCTGGGGTGCCATCTGTGCGGCCTGAGGTTTCACAGCCCACCTCTTGCTTGCCTCCAGCTCAGCTTCTGGGAACTCTGAGTTGTAAACAGGTGCCCTGTGGCCACCAGGGCTCGCAGACATGGGCTGGATCAGACAGAGCACCAATTCCAGCTGTGCCAGCCAGGCTGTGGGGCTTGCACCCATGAGCCCCCTGTGGCAGTTCACCCATGGGTAGGGATCCCATTAGGCTGCCCTGTGCCAGGAAAGGAAACATGACACTGGAGCTGCTGAGACCATGTCCGTGGGGCTGTCAGGTTGGACCTGGCGAGATGCCAGCAGTGATGCACCAGCCTGGCACCAGAGCAGTGCCCTCAGAGGACACAGGTGAACATGGTGGAGCTGGGAGGCACACATATATGTGGGTGGTCACTTGTGTTCACTTGTAAAACTCAGTGGAATGTACACTCAGACCGTCACACTCAGGCTCACACGTGGACTTCCACATGTGTGCAGCCACCTGTACATTTGAAGAGGCACAGGGGACTCCCGTGGGGACAGACACTCCGGCCAGAGGCAACCAAGAAGACAGGTCCCTGGCACCCAAGGGGACAGAAACTCCTGTTTGGGTCCCCCGCTGAGGCCAGACTCGGGCCCCTGGGAACACACAGCTTCCCGGGGACCGCAGTTCCTCAGGTACAGCCCCAACTCAGCCCCTCTAGGACAGCCCCCAGTCCTCCGGGAACAGCCCCAGCCCCTTGGGAACAGCCCCAACGCAGAGTCTCTCCGACATTCCCAGGGCAAGGGGACACCCCCAGCCCGGACCCCTGAGCCCACCCGGGAGGCGGTGTCGCTGTCCAGGGTGCTGCAGCACCGCCGCCCGCCCTGACCAGTCTCGGGACACGGGGATGACACGGAGGATGGGGATGTCACGCTGGAAACGTGTTGAGGGCATAGGGGTGACACAGAACCCCTGCAGAGGACCGGTGGTCTGGCGGGCCCTCCCCTGTGTTCTGGCCACCGGGGATGGAGGAAGGTTCATGAACAAGGGGTGTGTGCATGCGTGTGTGTGGGGGGAGGTTGTTTGTGAGTGCACCAAGCAGAGCTGGAGGGGGATTGATGCAGTCTTAATTGGGGTGTCGTGTCCCTTTGCACTGCTGTGAAGTGCTGGCCACAGCTCATCGAGCACCGCAGCCCCAGGGAGCCAGCAGGGCACATGTGGGCCCGCATCCCCACTCATTACCAAGCTCAGAGGGTGATGTGTGTTTCCGTGCTCCCTGGGGAGCTTGGGGACACAGCTGCTGTCACCTGAGTAACCAGCCGTGATTGATGCCTGCTTCCTCATGTCCTGCAGGGACTGTAATTGAGCAGGAGAGAGAAGGTAGAGGATGAGGGGACAATGCAGCCCAGCCAATAGAACACTGAATCCAGCTGCAGCACTGGGCCGGGAGCAAGTGGTTGAATCAGTGTGCTCCTGCAGGCTCCAGGGATGGGGATGTGGTCAAAGGCCTGCTCTCATTCCCAAGGAGCAGGGAGCAGGCTCCATGTGCTGGGCTGTGGGCAATCAGTGCGGTAGCTGCAGCTCCGTTCCAAGGCTTGCAATTGGGATGGAACTCTAAAAGGTGGATAGGGACAGTCCCAAAATCCCCCAGTTCTTGAGGCCCAGGACTGCCTGAGTTTCTCAGCTTAAGGTACTGGGTGGTCTGAGACCCTCTAGTACAGGCATTTGTGTGTTTGGGGCATCGCCCATCGTGCTGGGCCGAGGCCATGCTAGAGCTGGTACCCTCTAAGCACAGGCCATGGCTGTGTGCACAGCCCCTGGGCCCCCTGCAGCCCCTGGCCCCGTCTGCAGCCCCCGGGCGCTGCTGCTAATGAAGCCATTTCTATTTGTTGCCTTTGTGGAACAAAGCTCAGCTCTTTGCCCTCTGAAGATCCCAGTTATCGATCCCTGGGAAGAAAAGGCAGCGCACACGAAGCCTCAGCCTTCTCCTGCTGCCTGAGTGCTCTGCACAGCTCCTGCAGGTGATTTGGGGGGAGGCGTAAGTGCTGTCAGGGCACTGGGCCACCCCACAGCTCCCTCCTGCATCCTGGTAGGCATGCACAATGCTCAGTAGGAATGTACCTGTAAGGACAACGATTTTTCAGGGCCTGTGGGGTTTGGCTTTCATCAGAGGGCAATAGGAGGGTTCCCCAAAGCCATGCAGCCCATATTACCAATGGTGTTAGCAAAATACCTGCTGTTAGCTGATGGTTGTTATCTAAAGAGTAGCCTGGAGCTTTGACTTGGTGTTTCCTGGTGCCTGGGCTATGGCAGTGCAACACCCAGGCCCATGTTCATCCTGGCACTGCTGAAGTCGTTTGTACATGACAGGGCTGAGCCCTGGGATACAGAGAATGACATCAGAATGTGCTTTAAAAAATTCACAGAATCATCAGGGCAGGAAGGGACCCCCGGAGATCACCCAGCGCAACCCCCCTGCCGAGGCAGGGCCACCTGGAATAGGTGACACGGGAGCACATCCAGCTGGGGTTTGGGTGTCTCCGGAGGGGCAAACTCTACAGCCTCCCTGGGCAGCTGTTCAGTGCTCTGCCACCCTCAGCATAATGAAGACTTTCCTTCTGTTTTAGCTTATGGCTTTTGCTCCTCATCCTGTCACAGGGCACCACTGGAAGCAGCCTGGCACCATCCCCTCTGACACCAGCCTTTGATATATTCATATGCATTTAGGGAATCCCCTCAGTCTTTTCTCCAGACTGAACAGGCCCATCTCCAGCAATCTCTCCTCAGAAGAGAGATGCTCCAGACCCCAGATCATCCTTGTGGCCTCTGCTGGACCCTCTCCAGTAGCTCCTTGATTTCCTTGTGCTGAGGAGCCCAGAAGGGGACAGAGGACTCCAGATGCGCCTCACCAGGGCTGAGCAGAGGGGCAGGATCACCTTCCTTGACCTGCTGGCCACAGTCTTCCCTAGCATACGTTTTGCTCTGCAGCTGGGAAACCCTCTGGACTTTTTCTGTGGCAGATGCTGCTACTATCAATTAATTTCATCCTGTCAGAAATCCATGTAATTGTGAGTGCCAGCTGAAGGCAGTGGCGCGGCTGGGGCTGGCTGCACCATTCATTAGTGCTTCTCTTCTTCGCGAGCGTCACCTGTGGCAGTCGATAACAGAAAGGTGAACACGGGCAGACAGAGGCCTGGGGGAAAGCCAGCGGCAGCCTCCCGGATTTCAAAGGGCCTGCATCCACACGGATCGCTATATCAATTCCTTTTAATACATCCGAGCGCCTCTTTCCTGGAGGACCACGCAGGAATGAAGAGGCCATCGACTGCCCTCCCAGGCGGCGGGAGGGCTGCTCGCCTCCCTCTGCAGTGCAAATCGCCATCGACCGCGCCGCGTCCTGGGAGCGGGGCTCGGCTCCGCCAGACGCGGCCTCCACTCCCGTCCCCATGGCAACCGCGGGCCTTAGCAACGCGCTGCCATGGCAACCGCCGGGGCGCGCCGGAAGTGAGGCGCGGCCACTTCCGCACGGCACAAAGATGGCGGCGGGCGCTGCGGAGCTGCGGCGGCTGCAGTGGCGGCTAGAGGAGCTGGAGCGACGCGTCGGTCTCGGTGGCGGGGGCTGCGGGCCGCGAAAGGTGCCGGGGGGGAGCTGCGGCCGGGGACCGTTTGGTGCGGCCTGGCGGGGCCTGGGGTCCCGCTGCCCGGCGGGGCCTGACAGCTCCGTCCCCTCCCTCTGTGCCTCTGCAGGTGGCGGACGAGCTGGTGAAGGTGCAGGTGGCGCTGAACAACATCGCCGGCAAGAGGGAGAGGATCAAAATCCTGTTTAAGAAAAGTGAGCGGCTCTTGCGGAAGGGCAGGGATCGCAGAGAGCGGGAGGGGGGAGCTCCAGACCGTTCCGCTGCTCTAAACAAAAGCACCT